GGGTTCCTGCTGTGTGTGCAGAATTCTCCCACCCTTTCCTCAGGTCGTCTGTAGACATACGGTTGACAGTAAAAGTTTTACTGATGAATCCACTTGAGCTGTCAAATGATTTCAAAGGTCTTTAGAGGCACATACAATTTTGTCCTGGTTGTGGTTTGGTTGTTTATGAGCCTGGCTTGAATTTCCCGTCGGTTGTTGGAAGTTTCAGTCGCATATCTAGTTGGGTTTATTTTGTTTGGATTTTTTGTTGTTGGTATATTGTTACCTATTTTTCAGTCTACATACACATACAAGATTTTGGCAATTTGTTTCTGTCTGTCTTGCTGTTTTGCAGCAATATATGACTATTATGTACTGTTTGAAGTGTATGTGGATACTGGTACTAAAATTGATTGAACTACAAACTAAAACCTTGAAAGTATTGTTTAGAAATTGCTATCACATTGTTGTTGTTTTTTTCGTATGTTTCAGCTGGGCAAGTTCACTGGTCTGAAAGCTGCTGTCATTCTTGGAGGAGACAAGTATGCTTTTTTTTGTTTGTTTGTTTGAGGGGGGGGGGGGGGGGGGGGTTGGACAAAATATGTAGGCCTATATTGACTGCTTACCTCAAGACACATGTTTTCTACTTTTTCTTACAGTGAAATAAAAATTGTCACATATTTGCTTCTTTTTGTTTGTGTTTGAACTCAGTGTACAATCTGTACAGTTTTCTTTTGAGGAAGAGTCATAAATGATTATGAATTTTCTGGCTCCCCTTTAAAAGACGGTTTATGGGTTGCAAGTTTCTTGTAGGAGACCATCTCTAAATTTGAAATTTTTCCTAATAAATTGAAATATATTTAGAGATCCTTGTTAATCTACGTAAGGATAGTTGGCTTTTTTTATTACTATTTACTATTTTTGTCATCTTGATTCCTCAGTCTATGATCTTGGTTGAGGCAATGAGGTTTTGTTTTTTTTACTCGGATATGTTTTGATACCTCTAATTCTTTGACAGGAAGTCTTGTAGATTCATTGCAACAGGCTCCATCTTAGTAGACTCTTCACAACTTTCAGAGAAACTTATACAATTTTTGAGGCTGTATTATGTTCAACACGTTTGGTCTTTTTAAAAAAAAGATTGGGGAGTCTACCCTACATGGAATGTGGAGTGAAGGGGAACTGAAAGAGATACTTGGAAGAGTATAACTCCATATTCATAGAAGTTTTTTAATGTGGGTCTTAAAACGTTAAATTTGTTGAGGAAATGGTAAAACGATTAAATACGTTCATGAATTGATAGATAAAAGATATATTAAGTGCATATTTTTGGAGACCCTAGATTTCCTGTGCTTTACTATGACTTTTTCGTTTCAGAATGGATGATCAATTTGCTGCACTCCATGAAAACCCTGACATGTGAGTTGACTTTGTTCTTTTAAAAAAAAAAAATTTTTTTTAAATTAGAATTTTTTATTTTAAAAAAAGCTTAATGTGAGAGTATGTAATAAATGTGTTTCAGGGAACTAGCTTCTTTGAATGTTCAAAAGTTGATGTTGCTTCTAAGAATTTTGGAATAAACTTATTACTAATTGAAACCCGTGAATATCAAAAGGAAAATATTTGTGTTGTCTTCTAGTTTATTTTTAATTCAAATTATAATATTTGGGAAATTGGAGAAATGTTTCAGCCATTTTAAAACTACATGTTCTTGTATCTCTGTTCAGAATCATCGCCACGCCTGGCCGTCTGCTTCACGTCTTGGTTGAGATGGAGATGAAGCTGAAATTAGTGGAATACATCGTCTTTGACGAAGCCGATAGGTGAGAGAAGTGGTCAAAGGTCTTAGTTCAACATTATTTCTTGATAGGCTGTCTGTGTTTGTGTCTGTGATGTACCCCACTCACCCCCCTCCTCAACAAACCCTTCTCACATTCTTTTCTGCGTGCAATAAATGTGGGTGGTTGATCTCTCCTCCTTTTTTGTGTTTGTTACTTTCTTGTAACACCTCTAATCTTCGGCACTTATATGACCTGATTGTGTTGCAAGTACCGTCCGTAAAACTCTTACTGTGGGTGGTTGGCGGGTGCTCTGGTGTGGTTTGCTTCTTCTTTCCTGTGAAACATCTATCGTCCTTATCTCCCCTTCTTCTCTTTTATGTTTGTTATTCTCTTGTAATGCCTCTATTCTTCTGGCGCTTGTATGACCTTATGCAGTTGCAAGCGCCGTAAAACCTCTACTAAAACTAGACTAAAAACTCTTACTAAAACTAACTGCAGGTTTCATAAAGGACTGCAGTGCAGATGCCCAGTCCACTTTCCCATTGCGGCATTCTTGAACTTTGGCTGTGTGAGGGCCCATCTCGGCTATCCACTCCTTTTCTCAGTGCTTGGTTACGTGGTTGGAGAATAGGTATTATTGTAGGTGGTGCAATGCCATAGCTGCTCCTCCCTCCTCTCCAGGATCCACTAAAGGGTTGACTTGCTGGTCATGCCAGTCATCAGCGGGTTGGGTATTCAACTATTCTTCTGGCTTTTCCACACAGGATGCTGTCTTTCCCCGACCCTCTTGAGTTGAGACACCGGCTTCCTTCAGTTGTCTCAGTGCTATTGTAGATTAGATCAGAGGTCACTCCTTACACGTGATCTTTCTGTACTGAAAAGGGTTTTAAGATACCCATCAAACTAAGGGCCTTGTAAAAGGAAGGTCTCATACCAATTTCATCCTGTAGCTGGATCAAAATTTTGTGGATTTTTGCAAATGTTTTTCTGTCTCAGGTTGTTTGAGATGGGCTTCCAAGACCAGCTGCAGGAAATGATCCACCGTCTCCCAGAGTCGAGGCAGACAGTCCTGTTCTCTGCCACCCTGCCAAAACTGCTGGTGGAGTTTGCCCGAGCCGGCCTCACCGAGCCCACCCTCGTACGTTTGGATGTGGACAGCAAACTCAGCGAAAACTTACAGGTGAGCTTCAGTCATGACTCAAGGGTTGAGAGCGCCTGCTGCTTTTTGGGGTTTTTTTCAAATGTGGTTGGCTATGACCTTGGTAGTCACCCTTAGGTTTAAAGTTTTAACTCAATGGGAGTCCAGATTTACTTGTCTCTCTTTAGAAATATTCTCTCCAGGATCGGGGGAGAGCAACAAGCTTTCTTGTCACAATGACATATCAGGCGACATGTTTAGTAGGGATTTTGATGTTTATTTTAGTTTAGTTTTAGTAAGAGTTTTATGACACTTGCAATACGACAAGGTCATATAAGTGCCAAAGATTAGAGGCTATACAAGAGAGTGACAAATGCAAAAAAGGAGGAGAGATAAAAACGATAAATGCTTGGTAGAGGATAGAAGGAGCAAACCACACCAGAGCGACCACCAACCACCCACAATGTTGAGTTTGTTCTTGAGGGTAGTCCAAATATGTTTTGTTTGTCTAAAGAAATGTTCTCCCCTCTGAATGAAGTGTCTGGGGAAGCAAGTTTCACAGTGAATGAAGTGTGTGTGGTTTGCAGGTAACGGTTTACTCCTTTACTATCAAACATCTATTGTTCTTATCTCTCCTCCTCCTTTTCTCTCTATGTTACTCTTTAGTAACACCTCTAATCTTCAGCACTCACATGGCCTATTTAACTTGTGTTGCTAGTGCCATTAAATTACTAAACTCTAATCAAAGTAAAATTTGAAGATGTTTTCCACATAGTTTTCATTCTTGTTGGTGAGGTTTGGCGACTGGCTTGAAAGCTCCACATTCTTTGTCCACATGGCAGGGTGTGCTTGCCTCTATTACTTTTGGTGACTTTGTTCAATTTTATGTATGTTATAAATCAGTATTATATAGAATACAGAAAATTGGGCTTTTTTTTTTTTCTTCCCTTTCTGTGTGCGGCAGTGATTCCCTTTCTGGCTTTCGGGCCACGCGAAAAACAGAAACGATGTCGATGTTATTATTATTTATTTTCTTCTTTTTCCACTTTTGTATTTTTTTCTTTCAGCTCTCATATCTCTCGTGCCGAGAGGCTGATAAGTGTGCTTTGCTGTTTTACCTACTGAAACATGTGATAAAGCCAAAGGAACAGACAGTCATCTTTGCAGCAACAAAACACCACGTGGAGTTTTTAAATTTGGTGAGTTTGGGGTTTTGTCTGCTCTGCGCGTGTCACTGATGGTTTCCTACTGACTGTGCTGCCTTTTGACTACTATATTACAATTTATTGACTATTGAATTTGGCTGTTTGATATTTGGGTAATTCTTCTCTTATTTGCTTTTAAAGAGAAATTGATCCCCATCAGAAAGAAAAAAAAGATATGATAAACTTATTTTCTCTAGCTACGCAAAGATTCTTCTGTCCTTTAGAAAATTAACAAAACCACAGGGATAATACTTCATTTATTCATACCATTTTTTGGCTTTCTTTGAAAGTTGAAGTTCTATTGATGGCTGGATGGGTACCGACTACAATAATGGCAACAGTAACAACAGTGTTGAATCACTTTACCCTTGTAGTAAACAATTTCATTTGTTTTTCTTTCTATTGATGAAGAATAGATTACGAAAACAACTTCATTTGAATGAATATTTTGGGTTAAGTCTGTGAATGTTCTTTAATGTACAGTTCTTATGGGGTACACCAGAATCCCTCCAAGTGCACCCAAGAAAAGTGACCTATCCTTTTCCACAGCTGCTGACTCTGAGTGGGCTTTCGGTGACCTACATCTACAGCTCTCTGGACCAGGCTGCTCGTAAGATAAATGCGGCCAAGTTCTCGCTGGGCAAGGTCAAGATCCTCCTGGTGACAGACCTGGCCGCTCGGGGCATCGACGTGCCACTGTTGGACAACGTGATCAACTTCAACTTCCCGGCAAAGCCCAAACTGTTTGTTCATAGAGTCGGTGGGTAGTGATAGTGTTGCGAGATGTGTGTTGTAGTTAAGATAAGATAATACTTTATTATCCCAGAGGGAAATTTTTTTTGGCTGTACGGGACCATAGAAACACATGCAGGTATATGTAAAAATGTAAATTATATATTACTCTCATTAAAATTCAATATGAAAAGAGAAGTAAAGCTGACAAAATTTACATATCACATCAGATGCATCATTCAACAAACATGCAAGAATTTAAGAGCAAAGTTAAGTTATGTGTCTACTTTCATTGTGAGATATTTGTTTGCTGCTGCTGAAAATATTAAAACGGAAATGTGTAGTAAAGAAGCTATATATGCAGTACGTCATGTCTTCTAGAGATAGTCAAATAGAAAGTACTGCCTAGCCAAGTGAGTTATTGTTAAGTTACATCTGGATCGATAACAACAACATCGTTAAGTAAGTAACAAGGCCATGGGAACAGGGAATCAACCCCGACATCGTTTTCCCCCACCTGTATGGCATAAGCGGAAGGAGTGACTGCCGTGTGAAGATCAGAAGCGCTGCTCTTCGTCGAGCAAGAGAGTTGGGTGCACAGTACAATATCTACTCTGATGGCTCGGCAAGTGCAGGAACAACAGATGGCAGCGCTGGGGTCGTCATCACAACGGGGGACCAGTCCAACCCGACCGTTGTCGAGACACTGAGGGAGAAAGGTGCTCTATTCACATGCTCTTTCGAGGAAGAGAGGAGAGCCTTGGAAATGGCCATTGACTGGATCGACAAATAGTGTGATGCGTCCAACTCGATTGCTATCTTCTCCTACAGTCAATCACTATGCATGGCACTAGTGGGAACATCACCATCTCTAAACCAAATGCCCTTACACGTAAATAGTACAACACCTCAACCCACAATTCAGTGGATCCCTGGTCCCTTCGAGATCCTCAGCAACAATCTTGCTGGGCCCAGGCCGGTAAATTGCACATGAAAGGCTCATATAAAACTGATCTCAAAGGACCCTCCAATATCCCTCACACTGATGAAGGATAGAACAGGGCAATTTCCTTAAAACTGGAGGCTCAGTCACTACTGGCAAAAATCGGAACCGGTCACTTCTCTTGGCTGCAGGCCTACCGAAATAGAATAGTCAAAACATCTGACCCAATCTGTCCATTGTGCAAGGAGGAGCCCCAAGATTTGGAACACTGGCTGAAGAGATGCCTGGCCACGGAGATCCGGCGGTGGCATCTCTTTGGGGAGGATTCAGGGAGGTGGCTCTGACGAAGAGCACTCTCTTCGGGGCTCCATACATTTCGAATGGATAGGCCCACACACACACACACACACACACACACACACACACACACACAGCATCGTTAAGCTATGTAAACACATGCATTAAAGGCTTAAAAACAATGAAGTTTCACCTTTTGTCTTCTTACTGTTAGTGACAAAATGTTGTGAAGAAAGCTAACATGTAGTTAAGAAAGAGGAGTGTCTTGAAGAAAACAGTGTATATATAACTATTTTGAGTTATTGTTTTTCTGTCGGACAAAATCATCATGCTTTAAAAAAAACCATGCAGCTGTGTATGTTCAATGTTTCTTAATTATATGAATTTATCAATACATTCCACACAAAAATGATGACTGAGATAATGGATGAATCAGGTACATTACTTATGGATGAATCAGGTACATTACCTTGTTGAGGATGATTGTTTTTAAAAATATTTTATTTATATTCTGCTTATTTGCCCCAACCTATAAGAACTTAAACAAGAGTTTCTTCCTCTTGCTTCTTTTAGTGGCAACTGACAGAGGGCAAAGTAAAGTGACTGCTATCTGCTACAGTACTAGATCATAGGCTCACTAGTCCATCGGTTGCGATTAGGTAACAGTAATAGGTATAACAAAGAGGCAGAGATAGACATAGAATAACTTTTTCAGAGCACTTGAACAGATGGGTGGTGGGAATAAGATAGGAAATGGCAAAGTTGTTTTTGGTTGTTATTTTTTATGTAACTTGAATGTCAAAGTCTTATTTTAAATCCAGCTCTTGAAAAAGAAGAATGATGACAACATCTGTGTAATCTTTCTTTTCCAGGTCGTGTGGCGAGAGCGGGTCGCACGGGCATCGCTTACTCACTTGTCTCCCCTGATGAGATGGGCCACCTGGTGGATCTACACATGTTCCTGGGACGGCCGCTCAAACTCGTGCCTTTAGGGCAGAAAGTGGAAGGTGAGGGTGCCTTGTTATGGATGTTCTGCTACTTCTACTTATCTCACAGTGCTACTTTTGCGTTGTTCAGATCATGATGAAATATGGCCATTATTTTATCGGGCTCACTGTAAATTACTACTCTGCAGCAATGACATAGTGGAGTGGGTTTTTGTTGTTGTTTTTTTGCTGATTTTATTTATTTATATTTTTTTTTCAGTTTATGTAATACGTATAATGTATTCACACAAAGATCTAAATATTGAACACTTTATCATGCAGACTGTTTCTTTTTAATTTTTTAACAATATCATGTTAAATATTTTTCTCACACCCTTGAACTTTGTCATGGTATCACATGGATGTTTCGGTACCTCAAACACAAGTTTTCGTGCTGGCTCGCTGTGACAAGATAGTCCAAAGTTTTGTTCGTGGGCTTCAGAAGGAACTTAAAAAATACAAACAAACAAACTATAGCAAAGTGACAAATATTTTTAGCTTGTATAATGTTTAAATAAATTGAAGGCAAACGAAGCAGCAGAGGTAGGCCCACAGCAACCTACTTGGAGAACAATCTAAACAGATGGGTAACGCGGAAAGACCAGGATAATGTACCTTTTTTTAAGAGCATCCAAGCAAAGCTATGAATGGAGAACAATGATCACCGACGTCTGTCGTCTTAGATCTGGCACTTGGCAATGATGAATGCCTAGATGTCTCTGTCTGTCCTAAAATTGTGTTGATGGAGTCATAAAAAAAAAAACTTCATTTAGAAAAAAAATCACACGTTTTTTTTCCTATCTGCCTGTCAAATACCACCAGATGTGGACGGCTGCCTGGGAGAAGTGCCACAGAGTCTGATTGATGATGAGGACGTGGAGGTACAGCAGACTATCAAGGACTCAGTGGATTTGGTGAGGGTTTGCTTTTTCTCCTCCCCGTTCTCCTCCTCCTCTGGCATCGTCGTCGTCTGCTGTTTCTTCTTCTTCTTCTTCTTCTTCTTCTTCTTCTTCTTCTTCTTCTTCTTCTTCTCCTTCTTCTTCTTCTCCTTCTCCTTCTTCTTTCCTTCTCCTCCTACCCCTCCTTCCATGCTCAACATTTCACAGTTTTGCCAACATGTTGATGGTTTGATGGGTTTTCCTGTAAATTCTAATTCGTTACACTCCATTCATTTTCTCACTCTGTTAAACTTATTCATTTGCATCATACTACATGACAACTGTAAAGGAAATCCTTTACACAAATCAACACACGATCACGGATTTACTGGGTTTATTATTTCCATATGTTTGTTTTTCTCTTGTAGTCAGGTCTGGTGAAGGTTTGCACGAATGCGTACAGGAAGTACGCCAAGTCGCGACCAGCCCCAGCGGCCGAGTCTGTGCGGCGCGTGAAGAAGATGGTGGAGGAGGGTGTCATGCTGGGGGTCCACCCAATGTTTGGTAAGTGGCAGTAATTGTCTCCCATTTGTAAAGGTCTCCTGACATGGTTCTTACAATAAATTGAGCTTTTTTTTCTCTTGTGTATGTTTATTTTCATTTGAGTCATTTTTAGAAGTTTTTCAATTAGTGTGTTGTGTTTTATTATTTTTTTTAAACACCATACCTCGAGGTAATCCTGTTTAATGATTATACAGTGATGAAAACGTGTTTTCACCCAAAGTAAACAATTTGGAGCTTGCATTTACTTGACTTTTCTTTTTCCGTTCTGATATTTTGATAAGAAAGTAAAGAGGATTATTTAAATGAAATGATGTTCCTATATTTTATGAGAGAAGTTGTACCATTAATAAACCAAGATTCGTAGAAAAATTGACATCTCAAGCAAGTTTGAATTCATTAAGATATTCCCACTGCAGGCAAACTGAAAATTGAGGGAAAATTTGCTCCTCTTGCAAACAAAAATTGTAATGGCTCAAGATTTGTACCCATTTTCTCTGGTTGTACTTCAAGACTTTACTGATTTACCTCTGGTGTGGTTCAAAATTATTTAAAAATCAGTTTTTGCTCCAAGCCTTGATACCAGATTTTTGCTGGGTTTTTTGTTTTTTTTTCATGACAGACTCTGCTGATGTTGATGAGAAGGGCGTCCGACTGGAAATGTTGAATGCTCTGAAAAGCTACAAACCTAAAACCGTAAGTTGTTGCTTCCACCAGTGGCTATGGTTCTGTGTACACTTGTTATTTTATTGGTTTCCTTTTTACTGTTTATCATTTTTTTGGGGTTTTTAAAATTTTAACTGTATGTCCTTGTTGCCTCTGTGTGTGTGTTTTGGTTTCAGAATTATATTGGGGGGCAATAAGAGATCCTTGATTGAAATTGCAATGTATTTCTATGATGTCCTCAAGAAATTTATAAAGTGGCTTTGTAATTTCAGTATGGGGTTTCACGCTCACCCGGCGAGTGGCAATTTATGTGACTATCTCTGTACTCCCTCTTTCCTGGCTTCTAACTTTATTAGTTCTCGACCTAGCACCGTAAACCAACTTGAAATGAGAGGTCTATGTGTGCTTTTTGTTTCAATGTTAGTTTCTATGAGGAGAGAAATACATAACATTATAGATTCATGTGTTTAAACCTTGTCGTTACGCTTGTGGCAAGCAAATTTTGACAAATTTAGAGCGTAGTGCATTTTATCCAAGCAGAATTTTTCATTGCTAATCGTAATTGACTGCAGAATTCACATGATTTTGAAGCAGAATTAAAGGCTGAGCAGTTGTAATTTGAGGTGTGTTAAAAACATGCCAATGTAATGATATGTCTATGATTGAAAATAAAAGAAGTGTCGGTGGTCAGGTTAGATGGAATATTTTCTCCTGGTTGTTGAGATCAACTGAAAACCCCAAGCCTTTAGAACAGAATGACAAAATTGAATGTCTTGAAATAAAATTTACAATTTCAACTTTGTGAATGTTCACTTTTGGGGTCGTTTGAAGAGGCTTGTGGAGCTCTGAAAAATTGACGAGTATGGTGAAGGCACTTGTGGAGGGTGTGACTGAGAAAGAAAAGAGATGTGGAAAGAAAGAAAAGTCGTGTATCTTTGACCTTTGAAAATTGTATAGACCCTGAAACTGTAACCCAGTTTTATTTTCTTATCCCTGTTGTAGACAATCTTTGAAATAAACAGCACCAGTAAAAAGTCTGGGCTGGCCGTGATGAAGGCTAAGCGAGAGCAGCACGAGAGAATTATCGTCAGCAACGAGGAGAGGAGGGCGGAGAAAGACCAGGAGCAGACGTCCTTATCTTCTTTTATGCCCGAGTCGACGACGTTCACGTGGACGTCCAAGCCAGCGGAGCAGGGAGACATTGATGTAAGCTGAGTGGAGAGTTTCTGTTCTTTCTGATTGGAGCGGAAAATCTTCTGTCAGTCCACAAAAGTTTGTTTAGTTTAAGTCAGTTTTACTGCTCTTGCAACACAATTAGATGATAAAAATGGCAATCCGCCGCCATATAGTGGGATATTAAATGATATTTCATGTGTATGTAATACTTTTTCTTCTGAGAACAGTACTTTACAATCTTGAGATTTGTTTGCTGTTTTTTGGGGTTTTTTAGGAGATAAATTTGAAGGATTTGGAGGGACAGGGGGAAAAGAATTTTTTTAATGTTATTGGAGGTTAAAGGAAAAGAAGGAAAGAACAGGGTTTTTTTTCTCTTTAGGGACTTTTGTGTGCATGTAACTAATAGAACAATCAGTTTTTGTTATTATAATGAATAGTAACAAATTGTTTATCTCAATGTTCCTTGTTTAATTTTAGTTTGACTGTTTTTATTCCATTTCTCCCTTCAGGCGGTGTTTGATGAAGTAGTATCTTCAAGGGCAAAGAACTCTCGCAAGTCCAAATCGGCTAAATCTGCCGCCATCCCAACAGAGATCAAGGACAAAGAGAACTTTATTGAGTACAGACCTTCCGATTATGCCTCGGAAAGAGGGTGAGTGAGTGGCTTGTAGTGATGTGCGAGTGGTTGGTGGGTGCTCTGGTGTGGTTTGCTCCTTCTTTTCTGTCAAACATCTGCTAAAACTAACAGAAGTGATGGGCTTAGAGCTATGGGCAAGTGAAATGGGTTTGGAGCTTTAACTGTTATAGCTTTTTGATTCAGGTTCTCAGACTGACAATTTGTCCGTAACTTTCTTTATTTTGCTACCTCTTAGTAACTCAAAACGGCCAAAAATGTCAGATAGAACTTTGTAATTCTAAGGTAGCTATTTGGCTGGCAGAAATATTCATCATATAGTCTACTAATGGTCAACATTTTGGATGTACATCTATTGGTGCACCACTCCTTCCAGCAACCGGCTGGGCATCTCATGGTCTTGAGGTTACGGTGTTCGCCTCTCACTCAATAGGTCCCGGGTTTGAAACCTGACGACGAAGAAATATTTTCTTCTCTAAAATTTTCTCCTTTCACCTCCTTTCCAGCTCTCTAACAATGTTCTGTCATCTGCTTTCGTCTCCACTTTCTGCCCCCAACCTCCTCTCCTCTCCTCTAAAATTTTCTCCTTTCACCTCCTTTCCTGCTCTCTAACAATGTTCTGTCATCTGCTTTCGTCTCCATTTTCTGCCCCCAACCTCCTCTCCTCTTCCCCCCCCCCCCCCCCCCCCCTCGGGCACCTGACTCTTTCTGCAGCCTTTCTACTGCTACTCCTTGGCTCTTTACTGCTGTCTTTCACTGTCGGCGCCGTCCTTGACTTTGCCAATGAGGATGATGAGGGGAGCAGTAAGTAACTGTCTGCCTGCTGCTATGATCTTCCTCATTGCACATTTCTCTCTCACCCCAAGTCTCTACATCTTTTTCTCCCTTGCAAAGCCACAGTTTTAAGTGATAAAGGAGGGCATGTGATGTTTGCTTCTCTTTCATCATTTCCGAGTGAAATGAGATATTATTATGGCTGATCCTTTTCTGACACTAACACAGGTACAACCATGTTATTAGGCAGAGACGTAGTTTTTTACCATGCATTTACAAGTGATGATTATATAGGAAAATTAGGTTCTGCGCTGCCAGTGTGCTTTAAGCCGGATTGTGCTTTTACAATGCATGCTGTTTGCCAGAGACCACTGTATATGTGTCACAAAGCTGTGGAGTCGGGCGCTCGTCAATTTTTGGGCATATGGATTTATTGGTATAATTATAATCTTAAAGCCAGTTTATTTGCCTTGATTATCTGGGGGAAAATACTCATCTGTCTTGAATAGAAGTCGAGATATTTGCGATTGATGGAGGTGGCAATGTTGATGCTATTTGTTATATTACTCTGTTTGTCTGTTGTGTTTGTGTGCAGGTTGAGCATCGCCAACAACTTTGAGCGTGAAGCTGCTGGCGCTGTCCTGGACTTCACCAATGAGGATGATGAGGGGAACAACGACAAGAAAAAGAGGAAGTGGTGAGGGTCTTGAACTTTGTGTTCTGTGTTTCTTATTGGGATTTTTCTCTTTATTTGCTTCATCGCTTTCTGTCTGACTGTCTGTCATTCTATCTTTCTCTCTCTCTCTCTCTCTCTCTCTCTCTCTCTCTCTCTCTCTCTCTCTCTCTCTCTCTCTCTCTCTCTCTCTCTCTCTCTCTCTCTTTCTGTTTCTCACAGTTTACTCTTATTTTTCTCTCTCTCTCTCTCTCTCTCTCTCTCTCTCTCTCTCTCTCTCTCTCTCTCCCCCTCCCTCCCTCCCTCCCTCCCTCCCTCTCTCTCTCTCTCTCTCTCCCTTCCTCCCTCCCTCCCTCCCTCCCTCCTTCCCTCCCTCCCTCCCTCCCTCTCTCTCTCTCTCTCTCTCTGTGTCTCTCTTTCCCTATCCCTATCCCCCATCCTCCTTATTTTTATTTTCAGAAATCAAATGTATGATCTGCCAATTACAAGTAGGGTGTCTCAAAGGGGATATTTTTTTTTCTGTTACATTGTATTAATACTGTATTTTCGTCTCTCTCAGGGTGGGTGCTAAATGTAGTGCACCTTTTCTCGGACTTGACCAGCTTTCTTGAAATAGTCTTGAAATGTTGAAATAAATAATGAACTTACATGGGTCTTTTAGGCACATGTGAGAATCATAAGTTCAAAATATTATTATGTTTAAATTAATAATGAACTTCCATTGGTCTTTTAAGCTCATATTTGAGAATTATAAGTTTAAAAACATTTTGTTCTTGACTCAAGGACACAAAACGTACTTTCTTGAAATCTTCTATGTTGAAATAAATATATAATGAACTTACATTTGTCTCTTTAGCACAAGTGTGAGAATCATACGTTTAAAAAGATTATTTTGTTCTTGACACAGGGACAGAAAGCGTAAGAAGTTTGTCACAGAGAACGATGAAGGTGGGAAGAAGAAAAAGATCAAGACAGAAAGCGGCAACTGGATATCAGCGTCATACAAGTCCAATGCATATCCTTTGTCACCGGGTTGTCTGAGTACCAGATACTTGGTATTAAATCTCTGTAGAAGATTAAGGTTGTTCATTATTTGTCGGTTTTGCGGCTCATTTTAATTTTATTTAATTTTTTTTACTGTTTACAATTTGAAATAGACTAATCATTGCTTGTAGCTTAATATTTAACCTTTGTACTTTGTTATTAGAATAGACATTGTAACCATGAGCCTGTTTTTCTCAGCTGCCATCAAGAAAACCTGGATCCTCTTTATGCACATCTTTCATGCAGAACAATATTTGCTCCTACTCATTTACACAACACAAGATGATGGGTCGCTACTTAAAAATAACAAGCTGCTCGCTTTTTAATTGTTCTCTGTTCACTCAGCTGGTTTTTCGCTCAACTGCAATGCCAATGATGTCGTTCAGAACCCTACTTCGGTTCAACGGGTTCTTGGACTATGGTTATTTTGGGGGTTCTCATGCCTATCCTCTCCTTAACTCTGTCTCATCGTAGACGGATGTTATGTCACAGGTCCCATCTCTGAATTATCCTGGCTCTGTTGGAAGCGTCTCTGCTCTGAGCTTGTAACATACTGCTCCAAAGTGTTTCCCCTTAACCTAGCAAACTTATGTGGAGTGGCGGAATCGGAGCAAGCGGGGAGACTATGACGATGATGACGACGGTGATGGTGGTGGGAAGATGAAGAAGGGAGGAGGTGGACAGAGGGGAGCAGGCAGTGACGGAAAGTTTACGGTTGTTGGCATGAGGAAGAGAAAGTGTAAGTGTATGTGTGTGTGCGTGTATACTTTATAATATAGATATGCGTGTCTGGCATTTGTAAAGACTTTATGCTCTCTGTCCCTCCCGCTCTCTCTCTCTCTCTCTTTCTCTCTCCCTCTCTCTCTCTCTCTCTCTCTCTCTCTCTCTCTCTCTGGGCAGGCACTATCAAGGGCTTTTTTCAAGTATGATGGTGGGTGGGTGGAGGATGCCTGTGGTAGGCCTATTTCTTTTCTTTGTCTTTGATGTCTCTGTCTGTCTTACTATTTCTTTCCTTGGACTAAATGTCCATTATTGTGCCAAAATGCTTCTCTTTACTCAAATTCAAAGTGTGATTGGAGATCCTGTTTCTTTTTCATCGCTTTCTCTTTGTAGTTTATGTGTTGGTCTTGCTTTTTCCCAGCTCAAAATCAACTTAATGACTGTTGTACCAACATTTTTCTTATTGCTCAAAGTAAACTCAAGTACAGTCGAACTTGCTCTAATGACAATCTATCCAAGACAATCACCTGTACAAATTACCACTTCCCAATTCCCCTTTGTGTTTTTTCCTGTGTCATAATTACACTGACCTAGAGAACCACCTGTGTAAGATGACCACTTTTCTCCTTGACTATGGGTAGTCGTCTTAGAAAGGTTTTTCTGAATTTTCTTTGCGCATTTTCTCTGAGAGACATATTTTCTAATACTGTTTGTTTATCTTTTTCATAGGGCACACATGGGTGGTATGTGGGTGCTCTGGTGTGGTTTGCTCCTTCTTTCCTGTCAAACATCTATCATCCTTAATCCTTCCTTTTTTTGTGTTTGTTACTTGCCTGTAACACCTCCACAGTCTTCGGCATTTATGTGACCTAATTGTGTTGCAAGTGGTAATAAACACTTAACATAACAAAGGCACACAACATGATAACAATAATAATAAAATAACATCAATTGGCATATATGGTTAAACGCCAAAGATGTGGGTTTGATTCTCAGACAGGGAATTTTTTTTTTTAATCAAGTATCTTCGTCTGCACTCCATTTTGGTTTGCCCTGACTGGCAGGGTCTAAGCAGCCCCCTCCCTGAATCGTCTAGATTTTGTGTTGAACTGGGTGTAAAATACTTACAGTTACTTTTCTACTTTTATTTAGGGCACACCAGAGGCATGGAGAATGAGACGAGCAGCAAGCAGAACAAGATGAAGTTCAAAAAGGGCAAGGGAGAGCTGCACTCCGCGGATCAGATCCTCAAGAAACGTCGACAAAAGGCCAAGGTTCAGAACTTCCAGAAGTTCCGACAGAACACCAGAGCCAAGAGGAAAGGAGGAGGGAAAGACACTGGGAAAGGAAAGGGGAGATGATTTTTATGATCGAGAGTGTCGTTGCTGAGGGTGGATAAGTGTGTACTGTACAGCGAATGTTTGTGATATCACGCAGGCTATGTTTGTATGTGAGTGAATGGAGGTTTATGTGGCAGATTGTTATAACATTATTGTTTTTGATTATGTGTTTACACATACAAGTTGATTGAGTTGTGTATAACAGTGTTATGATTCTGAGTGTCTAAAAAAAAAAGAGGACCTATTTAAAGAGCAATAACTCGGTCATCTTTTGACCAATTTCAACGATACTTTGAAGAAATGAAGTTCAACCAGAGGGACATTACATTAGTCAAAATGAAAAAAATCAACCGCCATGTTGTTTTAAAAAAATCAAGTTTTAAAAAAAATTTCCGTCACAATTGAGTGAAACGCAATACTCTGCAATGTCTTACAAATCAACAATACTGATCTATTTGAAATAGTCCTTATTTACGCATTGAAGAAGGAATTATTCAAAAAATTAGATTGCTAAATAAATTCAGGGCGGTGATGGTTATTTAAATCTCTAGGGATTTACCATTCTCTCCATACAAGCTCCAGTACGGCACTGGAAATTTATAACAACTAGTGGCATGCCTTTTAGGGTCAACTCTTTGGATGTCCTGTTCAACATGGAGTTTCAACTGTTCGATCGTTTGTATCTTGTTTTCGTAGACTCTTGTCTGTCATAAACACCCCTAAGGTAATAATTTAATTGGTTCAAGTTTGGAGGAGTTTGGTGACCATTCATTTGTAAACTTTTGGTTAGGGTGTTCGACTCTCATTCAAAGGTCCCGTTTTCAAATCTGGGTAGCGGCAGAAAAATATTCTTCTCTAAAATTGTCTCCTTTCACCTCCTTTCATGTTCTATACCAATGCTCTATCATCTGCTTTCGTCTCCCTCACCTCCTTTGCCCCCTCCTCTGGGCTCCTGACTCTTTCTGCAGCCTTTACATGTATGCAGGCGTTATGGGTAGAGTGGGTTGTGCAGGACCTTTATGACTGCGCGTTCCTCTTCTTGGAATCAGACGGAAGAGGTGTTAATGTCTTTCTATTACACCCCCTCCGATGTTTTGTCACGGACATTTTCAGAGCCTTTTCCATGACTTTCTTGGCAGCTGCATGCAACTGTAGATTCACTGAGACTTTCTAGAGCGACACTGAAGCAAGTTCACTTTTACGTGTGTTTTGTGCTGTTTTCAACTCCTGCTTGTAGTCTTTGCAAGCAGAACACATATTTTGCACTAAAGCTGGTTTCACCTCAGAGTGTAAAATTTCTTGCCTCTTGAAAACTTCAACAGATGTTTTGTTCCTAGACAGTAGGAAGTATTTAATTGACTGGCAGCTACTAAAGACTTTAACTTTAATGCTCATTGAGCCAGCCTTGTTGTCTAAGACATCTTTCATAAGGTTGAAGGAGCTATTAACTTGAGGGCTGTGAAAACAGCTGAAAGCTGCGCTAGCAATCTTTGTCAGCAGCGGATATATTGGTTTACTGAACAGTAACTCCACCAACTGACGACATATACTCCATCATAGATGGGAAGCCCACCCTTCCAAACTGAAATCCACACTGAAAGCAGTTGCTTCTCTTGTTACACTCTCCATCTCCTCTTCAGAAAATAAAAATGTAAACTTACTAATGAGGGCATTCAATTTGTTTTGTGTTGGCAGTATCGATGGATCTAGAGCTGTCAGAGTCTGCAAATCACAGCTGTTCAGGGGCAGCTTATGAACGAGTAAAGAGCCAGCTTTGGCGTAGGCTTCAAACAGAGTATTGTACAGCGACCTTACAAGTTTTTTTTAATCTTGGCAAGTGCTGAAGATTTGATGGGCAGTGGTACTAACAAATATATTATTTCTGTCAAGAAAGCCATCTTCTGTCAGCGGAAATTTTGACAAGGTTGTGGCAGACATTCCGTTTATAAATGAGCTTTTCACAAAACATGCAAGAAATGTTCTTGTCATCTTTTGTTGCTCTGACGACAGCCTGTGAATAAGAGTGTCCTTTTTCTGGGACTTTGTGAAGTATTCCTTAAAAATTTGAAGTATATTCATGTATAAATTCAAAATGACAAGTGTTTTTGTTTGATGCTCAAACAAGTGTTCTATTATTCTGATCTTTCTTGCCTTTCCTTCTGTAGTTTGCGTCTTGGCTTTACCACATAAAACACTCACAATTTGAAGGGCTCTTTGCCTAGCCTTGTCAGTTGGAAGTTTGTTGAGCAACAATTCAAACACACCTCCGTACACACCTTGCTGATGAACAGGAATATAGGCCCAATAAAGCAAGGCATACATCTCGAGAAGTCGCGATGTGTCCAGTGCTCTGTCATAAGCAGAAAGCCACCCATGGTTAATAAATCGCTGTGGGATGGTGAACCGAACTCCTCCAAGGCGGCATAGTTGGGCCATGAATTTCTTCTATTGATATTTGAAGTCCATGTGGAGGTCAGTGAATAGCACTTCCACCCAGGAGCCAAAAGGCTTACAGAAAGATTTGACAACATTATGAATGTCAGGAACCACCATCTATATCTAACAGATGAGGCACTTTCTCCCTGAGCCTAGCCTCCACACCTTTTTTGCAGCCTCTCATGACATCACAACTATCGAAATGGGCAGACACTAGGTTTGACCAGGGAATTGCATTTTCCTTGATAACAGAAGTAATTGCAGTAAAAATAGACTCTGCATCAACTTTCTCTAATTCAACAGATGCCAAATGTTCAACAAGTGGTGTGTCTTCCTAGTTGACGCACACTCTAACTATTAGCACTCGTTTGCCATGGCATGTTGTACTTTCGTCTGCAGACAGAGAAAAAGGTCGACTTCTCATCATCTGTAGTGTCTCTTCTGACAGAGTTTTACCAATGCCATACTGGGTCTTGTAGGAGGCTCTTGTTTTGGACAGGGAAACTCCTGCAAGGGCTTGGGAATCTCTTGAGCATTCAGTAATAAGCTCAACAAGGGAACTACTGAGGGAGAGGGGAAGGGAGTTCTCTGCCAAATAAGCAAGAATCATAGCTTCCATGTTCGCAGTTCTGTCAATAAGAGGGATTAAGGGTTTCCCTGGAGCTGAACTTGATACTTCAGTCGGGGCAACTGTCTGACCACTACTCTTTCGATTAGTCAAAAAGGTAGAGAAAATTTTTTTGTCTTAGCGGGCACACTATCTATTTCAGCAGACAAGGAATTATGTCGGCTGAACATGCCTCCAAGAGTGTAGTTTGAAGCTCGTGTCTTCACGTGAGACTTGTGTTTCCCTTGCCGACAATGTTTGAGCAAGTTTCCCTTTCCATTGCCACTATAATTCAATTTATCATCACACCATTGACAATAGACAAATCCGGGAACATCAGTCTAAACAATACACTCACCCAGGGTGTACTCCAATTTTCCTCCATTTTCGCGTTCGAGTGTCACAACCTCGGAGCACCATTTCCATGACCACTTATTCTTGATTTTTTGGTTTATTTCTTTCACAGTGGCCTTATCTTGCTCACGTAGAATTCTCATACTGACAATGTAGTTTCTAGCTCCAGCAGATTCACTTTCATTCTCATGGGAATTTTATTTATAGTAATCTAGATCTAGATCTAAATCTATTCTCAAATTCAAATCACTCATCATCTTTTTTAATTTAACACACAGAAATTCCAGCCACTGTAGATCTCCGAAGAATGAGAGAATACACAGTACTTTGGTGTAAAAGGAAGGCGATAGTGGTCACATAAAGTCACTTGAACGAAGTCACATGAAGTCCAAAGAGTTATTTTACAATACCCTCTTTGCGTAAAGTTAAACGAAATTCACCATGGCGACCAAAAGCGACAAGCCAGATTTTTGCCGATTTGTAGGCTAAGTGAAAATGTACTGCTGACCAATCCGCAACGGAAGTTGTATAGAGAGACAATGGCCGAGTGAACGAAATACACAACCTGGCATGTTTTGATGCTGAATTTCCGTAATTAACATCCAAGCTTTTCTTATGGAGGCAGGTACGGACCAATTGTTACGGAAAATCAGTTTGGCCTGCGCGATCGAAATTTTTTACGGATGGAGTTGGGGCGGTCAAGGCGGCAAGTACGGATTTCCGTAAAAATACGGAAGAGTGGGAGCTCTGATTACTTCTTTCTTTCTCTCCATTAGTCTGCCTGACATACCTGTTCATCTCAGCTTTGAAAAGCTTTATCATAGCTGGTGTGATGAACAGGCTAAATGGTGTTGTGACATTTGGGTCCTGAGTGTCAAAATTCATCTTTGTTTGACCAGTAAATGGGGGTACCAGAGGGAAGTCTGTGAGATTTTGTCCCCACTTATACATGAACTCATCATCGACTATCATGAAGTCTGTGAGATTTTGTCCCCACTTATACATGAACTCATCATTGACTATCACAAAGTCTGTGAGATTTTATGCCCACTCATACGTGAACTATGAACTCATCGTCGACTCTCATGAAATCTGTGAGCTAAGCTATGTCAAACAAAAGTTTGTTCCCTGGGATACTTTCATTTGTGCTGCCTCAACAGAAATGAAATGCTATCGGCCGATGCGTCTCCAGCGGAGCTCAAGGCTATTGGGCGTGCTCTAGTGACCGAGATATTGTCCTTTAAGTGGGTCCTTTTTTTCTTCTAAGACACCCCCTCTACCATATGATTGATATGGTGATTACTTTTTTGGTTCAGTGAACTGACATACCGTATATATGTGTGTGATTGAATGTTGTGGAGTGTGATTGAATGTTGTGGAGTGTGATTATGTGGCATAACCTATACTGAAAAAAAACACAACCTACTGTTAAATGTATAGCAGATTGTTTTCTTGTTCTGTATACACAATGGGCAATAAATGTGGAAAAAATAAAAGTGAAGAATATGGATTCAACATTTTGGTATGCATTTTACTTTTTTTTCGTAGATTTTTGTTTGGATTTTAGAAAGTACTGAAAGCTTTCAGCTTTTTTCCTCCCGTTCAACTTATGTTTTTCACAGATCCACTTTTGGTCTAAGAATGCCGGGGGGGGGGGTTTTATTTAAAAAGTGTGGGCAGACTGTACATGATATACCTACTTGTATACTATACAACTGATGAACTGAACAAATTCAACAAGAAATTAGTACCTGTACAGCTGATTTAACAATTACCAAATAACAATTTTTCAAAGCCATAGAAAAATAAAGTACTGGTATCAGTATCAGGATTTTGACATTTTATTGTTTCAGAGCTTAAATTAACTTTAAAACTTTAAAACATCAAGTTTCTTTTAGGTTTCAATTATTTATTGCCAAAAACAAAGGCATGGGTTTGGGAGGTTAAGTACAGGGATAATTTAGTACCGTAACAAATTAGACTTACTAGCACTGCTCTGTTTTCAAAAATATCTCAGTCTAGGACCCAGAAGATTTTCAAACCATGCTTGACAGGCTTGGAAGGTAGGTACTGTAAGAAACTTCTCCTGCCTCTCCAAGGGACTAGTTGCTCGTCTACTATGACCGACAAGCCTGGAACATGGTGCCTTTTTAGGGTCGTAAGAAATTTCTCCCACAAGTCACGAATTGGGACAAAAAGATTTTGTTCTCGTCTTTGATTTCTGGATGATTTGTCATCAAACCGAAGATGGTTGTAATGTTTCAAAATATGATTGCGAGTAAATGCACACCTGATAATTTTTTCACCAAACTTGAGATCAAAAACAAGGTTCGATGAAATTATATTCATGTTGTTAGCACTGAGATGGTAAGGGTCAAAATGACCCGACCCTGTACATGTACAAGCATAGTGTCATCTTTACCCGTCAAACTTTTTCTGCTTGGTTTTGTATGAAACCTGTCAAATTGCGATATTGTTTGTAAAAATAGTTGACAAAAGCATAACTAAAAGAGCGTTGGTTTAGGCTTTTAGTTTTTATGATATTATTATAAACTGGCTGGGCCGCTTTTCAATGAAAGGAATGATCGGTGTATTGACATCAACTGAAAGTCATTGGCCTACTATATTTATACTCTACTGGAATGGAGCAATACATCTTGAGAGATGCAAAAAATTAGAAGGTCTAGATCTATACTCTCAAAATCAAATGTGCCTCGTGAAATATCACTTCCACAGTGAAGGGCAGCTACGCAGAGTTGTTTCATTTCTCAATGGAATAATCACAAAGGCCAAAGAAGGGCGGGAACTTTTTGTAAAATATATTTTTATAAATTCAGGAAATGAATAAATAAAAAATTGGGCTCCGTCATGGGGACCTATCTTTTTGCAGGTACTTGCCAACTTTCAACTCTGTAGCTGTTGTAGTTTTATGGGAAAAGTGACACCTGTGTTTCCAAGTTGCCAAATATATAACAGATAATACAGGGGGTTGGGTCACTTTGACCCGATGTTGTACTGGTAGGGTTACGGTAGGTATTTTTTTAATGCCCCTATTGACACAATTTAGATCATTTATGAGTGGAACTTTGACTCCTGCCTGTCAGGGCATAACTGGGCTGAGTGGGATACAACAACGTCCCACCAGAAAGACTGACATACTCAATGAAAATTCTCCCAACGTGTTAATGGATTTCTGATCTCTGCTTGCGACGGCAAAGCACCCAAACCCTAGACCACAGACGTTGGTTCATTCTCAACAGAAATAAGCTCCATGCACACATATAATAATAATAATAATAGATAGCATTTGTATAGCGCATATCCCCGCTCAACAGCAGGCTCTATGCGCTTTTACACTATATTATTACCCCAGCAGACCATAGAACACTCCGAAACATTCTCAGCTTCCCGGGAAGCATACAGTGCACATATGACCTTATACAGTTTCCAGGGCTGTAAAACACCCTAAAAAATTAACTGTGGGCAAGTGTGAATTTTGCTGGTGGCACTGCAAAGTTATAAAAGCATAAGCACATGTAAACAGACAGAAGGGCAAATATCCCGATCAAGTGAAATTGAAGAGAACAAACTAATTTAATGCTGATATTTTGGTATCAAAACTTTATTAGGTAGAAATTTCTCACTCAAAATCTGATTTGAAATAGTTTGCATGGCTCAAATCAGAGACTGATCATAAAATACAATTTGAGAGAGACTAAACAGTTCATTTCTATAATATAATACTTTCAACACTTTCACTCCAGATACTCACATTCAATCCAACATCCATACTGTCTACATTTGGCACACATGGCATTTGTTTCTCATATATTTAATTTATACAAAATATGTCATGTACAATAAGTTCGGGGGGAAAAAAAAAGAAAGGGCAATCAGCCATACATGAGATGCTTGACAAGGTACGACTTCATAGGCATACATGTAGGGAATACAGGTCTCTTCACCAGCTTGCTGACGGGCAAAGATTGTAAAAGAATGAAACGTCATTTATATGTGTGAGACGACGCGGTGGAATCGGGCGCTCATCAATTTTTGAGCAAATGAAGTTATTGGTGTGATCTGAAAGCCTGCTGTTTGTCTGTCTTTTGATGAAAAAAATACTCAACCATCTTGAATAGAAATCGAGATATTTGTGATTGAAGGAGGCGGGGGTCACCTAATGTCAGAGGGAAAATTAGCGAGCTAATAGACGCCAATCTTTGGTGACTTTCCAAAACTATTTATTGTGTCATAACCAACGTTTTTCAGTAAAATTCACAGAGAAATGGGATTTTAAATGGACATACAAGGGGTTGAGCCAAAAAAATTCTTTAAATTGATATTGATTAAAAAAAACTGATGAACAGAAACATGCCTGTTTCTCATATAATTGTTTTTGATGAGCGCCTGATTTCACCTCAATGCCTCACACATATATATATATGGATTTGTCCAAATGTTGGGGTAGAGTCATGTTAAACAGTGTAAAAACAAAAAGTGTCTGCAATACATCACTTGCGTTATTATGTGTATAAATACTAAAGAAATTTTTTTATAGATACTGGGTCTGCTTTGTGGTCTAAATTTGCGGTGTTATTTTCCCAAAACACTGTCACTTAGTACAAAAATTATCTGTCACATAATTGTACACCATCTGAAACTGTCTGCAAAGCATGGCAATACACTTTGATGCTTGGGTAGTTTCGTTACTTTAAAATTGCAGAATTTCAAGTGGTAAGCATCACATACATTTGCCATGTGTAATTAATCTGGTAGGTAGACCTTATTCCCCTCGCCTCAGTCTGCCTTGATCTAAAGGTGAGCAGACAACACGACAATCTCAAAAGTAATAAATTATGCAAAGAACTTTTTTACTACGTAGGTCAAAGAGAAGTGTTTTGATCTAGGTAAAACCTTTGATGTCAAGTTTCCCAACATAACCCAAGTCACATTTTCACAGTGACAAAAAAGTTGTGGGTGGTTGGTAGGTGCTCTGGTGTGGTTTGCTCCTTCTTTCCTATCAAACATTGATCATCAGTATCTCTCCTTCTTCTTTCTTGTGTTTGTTTCTCTCTTGTAACACTTCTAATCCTCCCCACTTATGCGACCTAATTGTGTTGCAAGTGCTGTAAAACTACAGTTACTGAAAAAAAGGGACAAAGTTGTGTCATCTGCTCACCTCTCAAGCAACTCAACTGAGCAGGCCCAGCAAAGATGTGGACAAAAACAATTACAAGTATTATGCAGTTTATCACAGTCATTTATTCTTAGAACTAAGTCCAGACATAAAAGTGTGAATATTAGTCAAAAATAAAGGATTATGACCAATATTTTTCACACTTTGAAGCCAATGTTGTTCATTCTCTGAGAACATTCAAAACACAAACGAGAACAAGTTGTTCCATCTTTTGTAAAAGAATGTTCAGAACAAGAGTCGCCTGACCCTGCTTTGCTTAAAAAAAAAAAAAGAAGGGGGTGGGGGAGGTATGCACAATGCATGTCACTTGGTAGCTGATACTCTTATCTCTCTTCTCAGCCTAGCCCAGCTTTCTATGTGGCATGGATTACATTCCAACAGCACATGTGTTAAAAAAAGAAACTGTCACACATGAACTGATACGAAGAAAGTTCTGTGACATAAACTAATACGAAGAAAGTTCTGTTATATCATGAACTAATATGAAGAAAGTTCTGTTAGATTCTATATGAACTTATACGAAGAAAGTTCTGTTATATTATGCACTAATATGAAGAAAGTTCTATTATATGAACTAATACAAAGAAAGTAGTCGGCTGAAGACAGTCAAGTTCAAACAAATAGTTGATGTTTTGGTGCTGGCGAAAGTAGCTAAGGAATCAACTAGCGGACATAGACACACGTAGAATACCTTATCTCCCACCCCTTCTCTCTCTCGCTCTCCCGTCCCCCGCCCTCTTTTTCTCCACCCCCACCCCCACCTTTCACATTCTCCCTCCCTCCCATACTCTCTCTCCCTCCCCCCTCTTTCTCATTCTTCCTCTCTCCCTCCCCCCCCCCCCCTCTCTTTTCCTCCCTCTCCCTTACACCCATACAGACTTTTCTGACTCTAAGCCCATGCAACTTGTCTGTGAGATCCGAGCGTAGAAGAATGTATCACAGCAGAGGTGAGGAAAGACAAGCAGGTAGTAAAATAAGCCAGCACAGTACACCTACACATACACACAGTACATACTAACGACACATACATGCAGTTCACACTAACAACATATACACCCAGTGCACACCTACACATACATGCAGTTCCCACTAACACAAGTATTGACAAACCTATAGCCCCCCAACAGTATACATACATACAGGCGATTGCACTGAGTGTTAGTGTTACCCAAAAGAGATATAATATATTATGTCATGGACACACGTCTTACTACTTACTCCAGCACAATGAAGTCCCCTTAAACTAAAATCTAGGGGAACCACGGGGATTTTCTTTGGTTCACTACACAGGTTTTTGGGTTTAGAGAGGTTACTCAAC